AGCATATTTTTCTTGTTTGCCCATTAATTGTCCCGATTTTGGTGGTATGGGACCTTCCGTAAATTGAATGCTGTCTCATGAGAAAAGTTCTTAGAGAGCTCGAAGACGTCTCATTTTGTCCAGAAATCTTTGCTCTATTTGAATAAACTAATGGTAAAAAGTTCAATTATATTTCTACACAAGAAAGTCAATAAATACACAGAGGGTAAATTTTTTTTGATCACCCTGTATGTTTAGTAGAGAAAACCTACAACCCGTTATACTCGACTTTGATTTGTCACCTGCACTTTAATGAACAATAGACTGATGATTATTTAAATATAATGAATGTGTTACTTGTTCGACTTTTACTAGTAGAGAATTTTACATATGGAAAATTGAAATACAGTGCAAAGTCACTTTCATATGAGCGTTTCATTATCAGCTGTCGTGCCTGTTGATTATTGGATTTGTTATATGTATAATTGGATTTATTAGAAAGATGTATAATAAAGTTCTATCAAAATTGTGAAATTTGAGGCTTCACAAGTCATTTTATATGGTTAAAGATTAGCTGGTGGAATTGGTCATTATGCACTGAAAATATGACCAAGCTTTTGGTTGGAAATGAATGTGATTCAAAGTGGAAGGAGTTGTTGGTTATGATAAAGCAAGGACAGGACATGTACTGTATACTCTCAAAAACTAGAACTTTATGATATGATTACACAGATCGAGAAGAGACACCGTTTCAATTTTTTGTCGTACTTTTATTAGTTCTCAGTCATTTTTAGTCGGAAAAACTTGCTATTGAACATGATAGTAGAGCGAACATTTTTCTACACGTTGATGTAAAAATCTTCTAGAAATCTCTGACCGATTTTAACTACATCTGAAATCGGAAGAGCCCCGTGAAAGTGTCTCTTTTCCCCCATTCGGGGTAAAAGGAGACACTCCATTCAAATACATGGAGTTTTAGCTAATAACTGACTGCTAAGTAAGCTCTAGAGATAATTAGTTGAAAAATACCTCATTTTGTAGCTAGAGATGTTTTATCAATATGACTTAGTTTCTGTGCGTTTTTCTTATACCATTTTAACTTTAACTTTTTAGCTGTTCGATATACAGATCTTGTAGAGGACGTAAATCCTTCTCTTTTAAGCAATATCATTGGTTTTTCTAATAGACGCACCTATGTTCAATCTAATACATTCATTAACACTTTTTCGACATTCAGGTGTTATAACTGTTACAGGTCTACCGGATCTTTTCTTGTCATTAATTGTTCCTCTTTTTAATATTCGAGACACGCAGTTGTGATGTGATGTATATTCAAATGTGGTGGATTATCACTACTTTGAATAAAATGAACAATACGACCAGTGCTCCATGTTGTGTTCAGGCATTTTAAATTCAATATAAAACGTCTGTAATTTTTCCTATCATCGTAATTGACGGACACTGAAGATAAAATTCGTTGCTGAATGTAACGAAATCTATACTTCTTCTTTCCAATACACTTCTTTTTCTTTATAATCAAATCTTCGTCAATTTCGACCAGATGGTGATATCACTCGCTGACATTTCTGATTTCTTCTCCTTCTTCTTACTCCTTTTCTTGATCTCTTCCTGTTGCTCTTTTCTGTGTGTGTAACTCATTCTCTCTTATATAAACTTATGTGTGCACGTGCGAGAGGGAGCGAAAGATATTGTAGAGATATAAATTAGCAATGTAGACATTGCTGCCAATGACGATGGCGAAATTATTTCTATAGTCTGTCATTACAATTCTATCATTATTGCCAATATTATGAAAATATTACAGAAATCAAGTACAAAAATTTATGTATTTTCGTCTAATCGATGGATTTCACTCCTAGTTTTAGCTAGAGAGCCGAAAATTTCAGAAACCAAGGATCTTGATTAGATATATATGCGGTAAAAATCTCAGCTTTATCCGTCAAAAAAAGTAAGTTATAAAAAATATCATTAACAACTTATCATCAGTTATTACGACACACCCTTTGTGTATTCCTTTTGAATAAGGTTATTATCGGCTAACTAAGATAAGTGTTGATCTCACTCACTAAAACCGGTAGCACGCCGAAGTGTTTCGATTATGCAAAGACATATAAATGTGCACAATTCTGAGCTTGAATTGTACTGCTGCTCTAAGGCAATCTGAAATCCGGCCGACAGTGCTAAATAGTTCGGTGAATTTCAGTTTTTGTAGTACGGTAATAAGGTTTGTACAATAATTAGCTCAATTTTTTCGTTTATTCTTCTTGATTTGAACTTGGATTGTTTTATCGAAAAGATCCGCGTATTCATCGTTAAACTGATCGACTGCATTTGATGCTGATTGACGATCTACGTACGTTATTGTGGCACGTTTTGTTCCATTCACAGATTTACTATGGATACAAATCTGGCGTTTGCCAGTTTTATAACATTTAATTTCCCCGGCAAGAGAAAATAATAAGTCTAATTCGCCTATTGTAACATTTTCGGGTAAGTTTTTAATCAAAATTGTGTCTTCTAGTGAGCCAACTGTATCATCAAAGATTGAATGAATTGTGTGTGTAAATTTTGATTCAACAGCAGCGTTTTTTGTAGTACTGGAAGCAGATATAAGCCTACAAAAAAAACTCACTGTCACCAAATACATCGGCATATAAGGCTGAGTTTTACTCATATTGACCAATTGATATCTGAGATGTAAAAACGATACAACTTTACTGTTAATGCATAAATTTCCTAAAAGCTTATTTTTTCAATTTTTCACACTATAGGTACATAGCAGTAATCGTTAATACACATCTTTCCCTCTATTTTTCCATCTTTCTTCTGAACAAATACTACCGGTGAGTTAAATGCCTTTTGTGTAGTGATGTTGTGTTAGTATAGTATGTTTTATTGAGTTATGATAGAACAATAATAGTTTTGACTTTTTTCCTTTTCCTTGGCATCTACTTTCTGTTTCAACATACAGTATGCTCCAGTGTTTTCTGAATGATTATTGAGCGAGAGGAGGTAAAAATCTACAGTTTTCACTTTCTGAGAGCAGACAGCGAGAGTAAGTCCATGAAAAGACTGAGTTACTAGGATCAACTATCTTTAGAGGAAGTACCTGGCGACCTCATACTTGCGCAGATCCACAGAGAACACGTTGATCTATCTAACCGTGGTATAAGAATTAAAGATCTAATGAAACTTCATGTTCTCGCGGTTAACTCTTTGAAAGATTAATGAGATAGTCTGCTTGCAGATCCTAACGACTCAGTCTTTCCATACCCTTACTTCCGCTGTCTACTTTCAGAAAGTGAAACCGTAGATTTTTACCTCCCCTCGCTTAATAATCACTCAGAAAGCAATTCAGCACAATGTTTTCCGAAATAGATAGTACAAGAAAAACGTTGATTGTTATATATGGTTTAGTAGTTATTAACGCATACCTTAAAGTAGCTGATGTTCCTCCTTGAACTTGACTGTGTGATGGATATATTGGTGACGTAGCTGGAATACATAAAAAGGATTTCAGAATATTTTGCATTAAGTTCAAATCACTCACAAAAACACATTGTTTCTCTCAAACAGGTTTTTTCGAATTGAAACTAAATCGTCTCAGTATTTTGCTCCGTTCGATTTATGTAAAAGGGAGTGATGTCAAACATATAAAAGCTTAGTTTCATTTGATTACTTTGAGTTTTGGTAAACATTTTTGTTAAAACAGTAGAAGCATGACTGTTCGGATTTTTTGCACATTCTCTCTATAACATTTTAATAAAAGCAAATAACATTTTACTATTATAAAAAGCGATCGACTTACTTCATGTGCATTATGTTTGTCTAAATTAAACAAATCTTGACAATATTCGCATGGTATTTTCTCGATGAATGGCTGATTTGCTATATCTCTAAAAGAAAAGAAGTTAGAACACCATATTTTGTATACGTCAAACTATGAGAAATGTATCTTACCGAGCTTTGCATTTGATACGTTCATTTTCCTTTTCAAGACACTGTGTCTACCCATTTTTTAAAGAAATAAAAACCCATTAAATGATCCTAACTTGACTGTGAATTCTAATAGTAGTTGGACTTGCAGATGATGCATCATCATAACAAACTTATCAGTTGTCGTAAGGGACATTCTGAGAGCCCCAGAACTGATACTCCTCCAAATGTTGGAATTCTAAAAATTTATTGCGCGCACAGAGTTATGCAGCATAGTTTGTTTACAGAACTAACGAGGGAAGGCCCCAACTGTCAAATCGACAGTTGAGAGTCTTCCCTCGTAAGTCAAAGGTGAGTCTTGACCATCCAGTGCGACTTGATCTAAAAACAGTTGAAAGTCTATAATAAAGGTAGTACAAAACTGATGATCTAAAGGTGAAAAAGAACGAACAGATGCTATTTCTTCGATATTTCGATTGTGCTTATATACTTGCAACGTGATGACCGCGTTGACCGAACACACAAAACAGTGAATGATTATTCCGCTTGTCAACCGTTAAAAACGGAATAAAAACGCCTGAGAACGGAAAATGAAATAAACGTTATGAAACGCGTTGTATTCCAAACGAGACGGTCAAAAAGCGGGAGTTTCGTAACGCATGTTTTTGCCGTTTCCAACGATTTTTTGGTGCGTAGGATTAACATGTTCTTTGGCGGAAATTAACCATACTGTAAGACGTTTTACTAATTAGACGGATCAATGATGAAACTTCATTTCATTCGGCTGCTATAATTCTCAGAAGTTCCACTTATTTGAATCGATTTTGAATTTTGAATATTTTACTGTGTGTTTTGAAAATGAGTTAGTTATTTTATCAGCTGAAAACTTTCACCTAGTTTTGTAAACAAACTATGTTATAGGACTCTGAAGGGCACGATAACCTAGTAGAATTACAATATTTTCCACAGTATTAGTCCTAGAACCTCAGAAAGATCCTTATTAGAAATTAATCAAAATGATGACCACATCCTCAGATGTCATTTGAAATATTTAAAACACAGTCATGTGTATTGTTTTTTTCTTATCGACAATGAAGAACAATATGCTAAAGGATATGATTATCAAAAATCGGAGATATATTGTGCTATTCTAATAATTTGAACTTTTTGATCGCCAGCTTAATACTTTAAGTTTTTAGACATATGCGCTTTTGGTCAGTTTTTTTCTTTTTTCAACTCATATGTAGTTCGAAATCATGAATAAGATAACGGGATAAAAAATTAAAATATAGAAAAGGTTAGTTCCTGAAGAAATGTCCGAGAAGCTTTTATCTGCCTGTGACTCACTTCAAGGTTTCAGGATTTAAAAACTTGTACTTATAGGTAACTTTGTATACTCTGTCACATGGAATAGTAGAAGAGGTAGCTTAATTTTCTACTAAACACTATGTATGCTAGATCGTAAATATTCTCTCCTGATACATTACCGTGTGTATGGTAAGTTGAGTGATGTCAATTAATCGTTCACAAATTTCACAAGGTATTTTAATGTTTTCAGTGATATTGGCAGCAGCTATGGAATAAATTAAACTAACAGAAAAGAATCTAAACCTGAATGATATGCATACCTCTTTCTATTGGATAGATTTCTGGTTTTGTTCGCGCTTGGATACCGTTATCTCTCTAAATCAATCCAAAGTAAGTTGTGTACAATGACAACGTGTTTTGTTTTTCTCGTTCTCTGTTGTAGGAGATACAAAATTTTTGACCTACTGTATTAACTTTTAGTAATGTTTCTGCTGTTTTGCATTCGTTTGACATGGTAGTAGTGGTAGTGTTTGGAATATCTATTAGTATCGAAGATTTTTTTATGTTTAAAAATTGAAATTGTAGCTCTGTTAAACTGCGTTTCAAGTCGATAAAATTCGGACGATCTTTTGATAGTTTTGACAAACATTTCATGATGATGGACCAGTTCTCATCGTTACAAACTAACGGTCGTTTAAGTCGTTCTCCATTGATTATTTTAATCGCAACGTCTTCGTCCTTTTCTATTTCATTCCAAGGCACTAATCCTTTGGAGAATGCTTCCCACATTAGAACGCCCATTGAGTATATATCTGATTTTTCTGTGTACGCTTCAGGACGCTTTTCAGATAGAATTTCAGGTGCAGCATAACGAACAGGAACAATGGTCATGACCGTTGATGAACCGCATGCCACAGCATTATATATACTACTCGAACGACTAAGTCCAAAATCAGTGAGTTTAACAAGATTATATTTCGAATCCATTTCATCAAATCGAAAAACCAAAATGTTTCTACATGCTAAATCACCATGTATAATATGATTGTGTGTAAGAAATGACATTGCATCTGCAATTTGAATAAATATTTCGCATAAAACAATTTCATTTAGCACAGTTGATCGATCTTGAATATATTCAAATAAATTTCCTTCTGGTGCCCATTCTTGAAGCAACATGACCGAATTTGTATTTTCTGATGATGCATCATCTACAAGTCCAAAGGTTTGAACAATATGGGGATGACGACTTAATTCTACGTAAAACATAGCGTCTTTTTTTGCTCGCGCACCATCGATTTTCAATAAAACTATTTGTGGTCCATTACTGTTTGTCAACCATTCAGCTTCATAAATCGATTTGCCAAACGTCTGAAATAATGCTAGAGGTGGGACAGTTCCAGTTACCGTTCCTAGTAACTGGAACTGGTGATCAGTTACCGTTCCTAGTAACTGGAACTGGTGATCAGTTACCGTTTCTAGTAACTGGAACTGGTGACCAGTTACCGTT